TCGATAATATTTAATTAAATAAAATTGATGTTTGAAGCTTTCAGTTTTGAAGTGAGTTAGTGCTTTATTGCAAACCAGCAGGTATTTCAAGGCCAGCAAACAAGTCACCTGCAGGGCCCCGTAGAAGCCCACCACCACCACCAACTTCAGTTGGAGAATCAGCTAGAAATTCAACACAATTGTCAAATACGTCTAAGGCAGGGGGAAGTGGAGGGCAGCTTGGTGCATTCTGGTCCACTCAACATGCAGATAACTCACTTGTTGAAGAAAATACTATACCTAAGTTTGATGATGAGCCCGCTGCCCATTACACTGCAAAACTTGATGGGATTCGTCTGGAAATTCATCCTATACCCAAGAACAGTGCCCCCGCAAAAGAGGAAAATGCAGAGACTCATGCTACACGAAGAAACTCGCATGGCAAATCACACAAGCCTGAAGATGGACCTTCAAAGGACTTTGAAATAAGTTTCTTCCCAAAGGATACAGACCATGGAACTGAAAGGCCAAAGGCATCTAAATCTCAGAGTGCAACTGGTTTCCAAGATGAAGCATTTAACTCTTTTGTTGCTGAGTTTGATACTAAAAGAGTCAGCATGGGAGCTAGTAATAACAAATCTGGAAAAGAAGAAGCATTGGAGGCTGAAGTAGAGAGATTGAAAGAGCAGCTGAAGCAAGCCAATTTGGAAAAGGGTGAAATAACTTCCAAATTTGAAAAGCTATCTGCCATCTGCCGATCTCAAAGGCAGGAGTTACAGGAGCTTAAGCAGACGCTTGCTGCTAGAACACCATCACCAAATAAAGATGCATCAAGAAATCAAACTTCACCTGGAATTCTGCCATCTGCAAATCCGCTGGTATTCTTATAAGTAATTTGTGTGCAAATCTTACAACTGTTTGACTTTCAATTGTTCCCTCTTTATTATCTCTTTAATTGGTAGAATTAATTGTTTTCTGCAGCAGAGGGAGAAGATTGAAGGAAGTTTTTGGGAGCAAGGAAAATCTGACAGGAGTACTCCGAGTCCAGAACCAAACCCATGGCAGCCATTTGTAGAGGAACCCAAATCACAGCAGCCTTCTTCAACAGATAACACCATGAAATCTGTCAGGACAAGAAATGGTCACCAGAACAAGCAGACCACTCAAGTAAATACTGGTTTTGACTCGTGGGGTTTTGGAGCAGAGAGTTTTACTGCTGTGCCCACTGGAAGCTCACAGATTTCAAGACCTATGGGTGAAGGAAATAATTCTCAGCGCTTTGGCGGGGCAAAGGTTATGGAGAGCAAGCCAGCTTCTCAACCTGCTGGATGGGCTGGTTTCTAAGTAAGGCTATCTGTGGAAATGCTATAAGGAGGTATTTGATTATGGCACTGACATTGTTGTCGACATTGGTGAGGAAAATGAGAATATAAATTGAGATGCATGGCTTTCATTTGAATTTGATTTGTGCTTTTGAGTGCTCGTGTTTTATAGGTTCTGTTCTGCCACTTGTGTGGTGGAACATGTACGCATGTTTCTCTGGACTAAGTGGCATACTGCAAATGTATACTTTTTTTCTGCATATCTCAATTGTTGGCTAAGAAAATAATCGCTCTATTTTTATGGTGATGGTGTTGGCATGTGAGTAGGATTCTTCATCCTTGGCCTCTTTTTCTTCTGTGGTTACAAAAATGAGTGTAGGAAGCCTTTTCTGTTCCGTTCTTTGTGCTTGGTTAATGGTTTGCTTGTCTTGACTGAGTTGACAGACTTCTTTCATAGAAACATACCTCTTTGACAAACAGCGGTAAAAAACTCAACAAGTGTAGAATTTTCTATGTTGGCAAGGAGACGTAAGTACGTGTGTTGAAAAGCCACGACACTCGGCCTAAATGTCTAGTCTTTTTAACTTCACTACCTGCACACAAATGAACGCTAAGAGCACTTCCATCACTGAGGGGGAGCCCTGGCAAGAGGGGCCCCAAGCAACCAAAGACAGCTCTAACACAAGTGATCCAGCCCAGGTAAACAGTGGGCCCAGCAACCTGGGCAAGCCCACGGGCAAGTTCAATCCGAGCTGCTGCTTGAGCAAAATGAACGTCAGCAACAGGAAAAATAAAGGAAATTTTTTTTAAAAAAAAACCAAAAACAAAAAATCAAAGAACTTTTATTTTTATAAATACCTATTCATATTTTTTACTTACCATACCAAATTCTATACAAATTCATCTCCTCATATCTCATATGAATAGTAATTGCCTTTGTTAGCCCATAGGGGTGGAAACAAAATTGCAAGGGCTATCATTATTTACATAAATAGTGACAACCCTTGCCTTGCTCTTGCTCTTGTCCATAGGGGTGGAAGTGCTCAAATTAGAACCCAAGACAGCAACGTACAATTCCAACCTAATTTTAGAATATGATTAACTGCCTCAAAGATTGTCCATAGGGGTGGAAGTGCTCAAATTAGAACCCAAGACAGCAGCGTACAATTCCAACCTAATTTTAGAATATGATTAACTGCCTCAAAGATTAAAACCCAAGACGTCCCTACTCTATGCTTGAGTTTTCGTAAGGGTATTTTTGGAAGTTAGTATGGGAAAACAGGAATGGGAATCGTATCGACTACCCCTCCCTAGTTGATCTGATACCTAGTTTTGAGAGGATGTGATTACGGATTTTGAGGTGGGGCCCACTTATTTTTTCATTCCTGATTGCAAATAAAGGCAGGGGAAGTCAGGAATGTAAATAATTCCCTTTCTTTCCATACCTATTACTGATATGTAAACATGCCATCTCTTTCTCTCTCTCTCACAACCCATTCCCCCCTCCTTATCCCACCCCCCTCAAAACCCAGATCCCAAACTTAAAAATAAAAAATTTTACTTGTGTGGCTTAATTTTCAGTTCTGTTTTTTCTGAAATATTATGGAAGATGATTCTTCAAAAACGAAGAGAGAAAGAGAGACAGAGAGATATTTGAGGAGGAAGCTGGAAGTTGGGTCACGGGGATTCTGAAAATTTCAGGCCAATGAGGTTTCAAAGTTTCAACACCATCAATTTAGCTTCCCTTCGTCAACTCCAACCACTTAAAAGTTACAACATCTCTCTTCCACTCTTGAGAAAAGGGTCACGGTGATTCTGAAAATTTCAGGCCAATGGTTTCTTGGCTTTTTTGTTTTTTGTTTTTGAAGTGCTGGGCTGTATGAAAAAGGTAGAATAGACACCTACCTAGTACTTGAAGGATAAACACAAGTGGAAGTGGAACTTGAGGCTGTTAATCACCAAGAAGGAAAAAAAAAAAATCAGAGATTAGGAGGAAAAAATAATAAAAAAAATCTTCAAAGCAGGTGAGAGGCCTAGAAGGATTGAACTTACTTGGAGCAGTTGGGCTCTGAGTAGCAGCGCCTGCAAAATCGTTGCTCTGTGCAGTTTGGCCCTTCCTTTGGAAATAGCAGTTGACAACATAGTTGCAGTGATCTTTGAAGATGGAGGTGGGGTTGTTGGGTGGATGATGGATGAAGAAGGGGGAGTTGGGGTTGATGATGGATGAAGAACCTGAAAGGACGTTTTTATCTCTCATTTTGATGGATAAATTGACAGAGTTGGACGGTAAGACCCAATTGGAACTATTCATCGAGTTAATGAATGTAATTGACACGAAAAAAAGTTCACGAACCCAATTGTAAATAGGGACTAAATTCAAGGACGCCTACAGTAGATAACCCTAATTATTAATGTTAGATTCAAATTCAAAGTGAAAATGTTGACTAGCAATCAATTAGCTAGACCCTGTACGCGTGTCGTCATAAAAGTGCATACCACCGGAGCCCGGCGAAGGTCAGGGTCAAGCTCCATTGCAATTTGCAAGTAACAAATATTGTGATTATTCATAGTCAAATGTTAAAAAGTCTAGCAATCCACGCATCATAGATCGACACTTGGAGACAAACAACACACAAAAACGAAATCAAATCTATTCTTATCAAAACCTGCACAAATTCAATATGCAGCTATTTATGGCTAGTTTGGGATTGTTGTTATTTTAAAAAAAAAGTTGTTTCTACTATGATTTGAAAATAATTAACTGTAAAGTAAAGTAACTCTATATTTGGTAAATAATTAGCTGTAAAGTAAAGTAACTTCATATTTGGTAAATAATTATGCTTTGAAATTAATCTATTGTAGATGTCCCTGAATTTGGTCTCTAGTTGCAATTGGGTCCGTGAACTTTTTTTCGTGCCAATTACATCCTTTAACTGTACAAATAGTTGCAATTGGGTCCTACTGTCAAACTCTATCAATTTGTCCGTCAAAATGAAGGGTAAAAGTGTCCATTCGAGTCTGAAGAAAAAAACTGAAAAAATAAAAATAAAAATAAAAGTCCCTCTCTGGGCATGCTTACGTATCAGTAATGGAGAAAATAAGGAATCAGAAAATTTAGGAATCGGGGAAGTACTGAATCGGTATGGGAAGAATCATTCTCATTAAGCTGTTTACTAAACACATGGAATTAGCAAAAGAATGGAGTTGATTCCTAATGTTGTTGTTTACTAATTTTCATGAATCAGAATCCAAATTAATTTGATTACTAAAATGACCTCTACATTTTCACCACAGCACATATATATTTCTCAAATTGGCTAAGGAGACCAAACTAATCCTGCAGCGAACCAGTAAGGCGGTGTAAACATGAGAAATTAAGGAATCAATATGCTGAACAAGGTGAACATCAAGAGCCAAGTTCAATGATAATGTTAACAACAACTTTGTCTATGACCAATTTCAAATTAAAAAATAAACTCCAATAAATATATGTCTTAACTTCTTGGCGTGAGTTTTTATTTTTTGAAAGGTTTGGGGTGTTTTGGAATTATGGTAAAGTCGTAAGGGTATTTTTGGAAGTTAGTATGGGAAAACAGGAATGGGAATCGTATCGACTACCCCTCCCTAGTTGATCTGATACCTAGTTTTGAGAGGATGTGATTACGGATTTTGAGGTGGGGCCCACTTATTTTTTCAATGTAAATAATTCCCTTTCTTTCCATACCTATTACTGATATGTAAACATGCCATCTCTTTCTCTCTCTCTCACAACCCATTCCCCCCTCCTTATCCCACCCCCCTCAAAACCCAGATCCCAAACTTAAAAATAAAAAATTTTACTTGTGTGGCTTAATTTTCAGTTCTGTTTTTTCTGAAATATTATGGAAGATGATTCTTCAAAAACGAAGAGAGAAAGAGAGACAGAGAGATATTTGAGGAGGAAGCTGGAAGTTGGGTCACGGGGATTCTGAAAATTTCAGGCCAATGAGGTTTCAAAGTTTCAACACCATCAATTTAGCTTCCCTTCGTCAACTCCAACCACTTAAAAGTTACAACATCTCTCTTCCACTCTTGAGAAAAGGGTCACGGTGATTCTGAAAATTTCAGGCCAATGGTTTCTTGGCTTTTTTGTTTTTTGTTTTTGAAGTGCTGGGCTGTATGAAAAAGGTAGAATAGACACCTACCTAGTACTTGAAGGATAAACACAAGTGGAAGTGGAACTTGAGGCTGTTAATCACCAAGAAGGAAAAAAAAAAAATCAGAGATTAGGAGGAAAAAATAATAAAAAAAATCTTCAAAGCAGGTGAGAGGCCTAGAAGGATTGAACTTACTTGGAGCAGTTGGGCTCTGAGTAGCAGCGCCTGCAAAATCGTTGCTCTGTGCAGTTTGGCCCTTCCTTTGGAAATAGCAGTTGACAACATAGTTGCAGTGATCTTTGAAGATGGAGGTGGGGTTGTTGGGTGGATGATGGATGAAGAAGGGGGAGTTGGGGTTGATGATGGATGAAGAACCTGAAAGGACGTTTTTATCTCTCATTTTGATGGATAAATTGACAGAGTTGGACGGTAAGACCCAATTGGAACTATTCATCGAGTTAATGAATGTAATTGACACGAAAAAAAGTTCACGAACCCAATTGTAAATAGGGACTAAATTCAAGGACGCCTACAGTAGATAACCCTAATTATTAATGTTAGATTCAAATTCAAAGTGAAAATGTTGACTAGCAATCAATTAGCTAGACCCTGTACGCGTGTCGTCGCTTACGTATCAGTAATGGAGAAAATAAGGAATCAGAAAATTTAGGAATCGGGGAAGTACTGAATCGGTATGGGAAGAATCATTCTCATTAAGCTGTTTACTAAACACATGGAATTAGCAAAAGAATGGAGTTGATTCCTAATGTTGTTGTTTACTAATTTTCATGAATCAGAATCCAAATTAATTTGATTACTAAAATGACCTCTACATTTTCACCACAGCACATATATATTTCTCAAATTGGCTAAGGAGACCAAACTAATCCTGCAGCGAACCAGTAAGGCGGTGTAAACATGAGAAATTAAGGAATCAATATGCTGAACAAGGTGAACATCAAGAGCCAAGTTCAATGATAATGTTAACAACAACTTTGTCTATGACCAATTTCAAATTAAAAAATAAACTCCAATAAATATATGTCTTAACTTCTTGGCGTGAGTTTTTATTTTTTGAAAGGTTTGGGGTGTTTTGGAATTATGGTAAAGTCGTAAGGGTATTTTTGGAAGTTAGTATGGGAAAACAGGAATGAGAATCGTATCGACTACCCCTCCCTAGTTGATCTGATACCTAGTTTTGAGAGGATGTGATTACGGATTTTGAGGTGGGGCCCACTTATTTTTTCATTCCTGATTGCAAATAAAGGCAGGGGAAGTCAGGAATGTAAATAATTCCCTTTCTTTCCATACCTATTACTGATATGTAAACATGCCATCTCTTTCTCTCTCTCTCACAACCCATTCCCCCCTCCTTATCCCACCCCCCTCAAAACCCAGATCCCAAACTTAAAAATAAAAAATTTTACTTGTGTGGCTTAATTTTCAGTTCTGTTTTTTCTGAAATATTATGGAAGATGATTCTTCAAAAACGAAGAGAGAAAGAGAGACAGAGAGATATTTGAGGAGGAAGCTGGAAGTTGGGTCACGGGGATTCTGAAAATTTCAGGCCAATGAGGTTTCAAAGTTTCAACACCATCAATTTAGCTTCCCTTCGTCAACTCCAACCACTTAAAAGTTACAACATCTCTCTTCCACTCTTGAGAAAAGGGTCACGGTGATTCTGAAAATTTCAGGCCAATGGTTTCTTGGCTTTTTTGTTTTTTGTTTTTGAAGTGCTGGGCTGTATGAAAAAGGTAGAATAGACACCTACCTAGTACTTGAAGGATAAACACAAGTGGAAGTGGAACTTGAGGCTGTTAATCACCAAGAAGGAAAAAAAAAAAATCAGAGATTAGGAGGAAAAAATAATAAAAAAAATCTTCAAAGCAGGTGAGAGGCCTAGAAGGATTGAACTTACTTGGAGCAGTTGGGCTCTGAGTAGCAGCGCCTGCAAAATCGTTGCTCTGTGCAGTTTGGCCCTTCCTTTGGAAATAGCAGTTGACAACATAGTTGCAGTGATCTTTGAAGATGGAGGTGGGGTTGTTGGGTGGATGATGGATGAAGAAGGGGGAGTTGGGGTTGATGATGGATGAAGAACCTGAAAGGACGTTTTTATCTCTCATTTTGATGGATAAATTGACAGAGTTGGACGGTAAGACCCAATTGGAACTATTCATCGAGTTAATGAATGTAATTGACACGAAAAAAAGTTCACGAACCCAATTGTAAATAGGGACTAAATTCAAGGACGCCTACAGTAGATAACCCTAATTATTAATGTTAGATTCAAATTCAAAGTGAAAATGTTGACTAGCAATCAATTAGCTAGACCCTGTACGCGTGTCGTCATAAAAGTGCATACCACCGGAGCCCGGCGAAGGTCAGGGTCAAGCTCCATTGCAATTTGCAAGTAACAAATATTGTGATTATTCATAGTCAAATGTTAAAAAGTCTAGCAATCCACGCATCATAGATCGACACTTGGAGACAAACAACACACAAAAACGAAATCAAATATATTCTTATCAAAACCTGCACAAATTCAATATGCAGTTTTTTTTTTGTTTTCAAAATATGCAGCTATTTATGGCTAGTTTGAGATTGTTGTTATTTTTAAAAAAAAGTTGCTTTTATTATGCTTTAAAAATAATTAGCTATAAAGTAAAGTAACTCTATATTTGGTAAATAATATTTTTTAAAGTGTTGTTAGTACAAAAAGCAATATCAAAACCATTTGGTAATTTTAATATAAAACTATTGTAACTGTGAATAATGACTAAAATAGACATAATGTTGAAAGTGTTATATGTTAATCATGTGGTGGTAGTGGTGGTGATGGTGGAGGTGAAAGTGGTGGTGGTGGTGATAAAGGTGGAGGTGGTGGTAGTGGTAGTGGTGGTGGTGGTGGGGATGGCGGTTGTGGAGGTGGAGGTGGAGGGGTAGCGATGGTGGTGATGGTAGAGGTGGTGAAGGTGGTGGTGGCGGCGGTGGTGTGGTGGTGGTGGTGGTGGTAGAAGAGGATCTGGTGGTGGCGGTGGCAGCGACGATGGTGGTGGAGGTGGTGGCATTGGATGTGGAGGTGGAGGTGGTGTCATTTTTAAAATTAATGATAGTATTTTGGGAATTAAAAAAATTAATTAAAGGCTCATTTTTGCTTCTCTTGAAAGTAGTTTTGAAAAGCAACCTAGAACATGTTTTTAAAAGTTGTTGTAAAAAAGCCACTATTTTAAAATAATCGGGATATTTTACTTTCACTAAACACCTTAAAATGCTTAACTTTAAGGTGAAGTAGATTTTTGACAAAAATAAGCAAATCCCAAACAGGACCATAGCTTCCCCTTTCCAATTACCACTCATCCAAAGAAAATTCTGACACACGTTTTTCACCGCATAAATTAGTTAGTAACTGTTCTGTTTGGCCAAGAATTTTCTTTGTTGAAGTTGCTAGAATCGTATCGACTACCCCTCCCTAGTTGATCTGATACCTAGTTTTGAGAGGATGTGATTACGGATTTTGAGGTGGGGCCCACTTATTTTTTCAATGTAAATAATTCCCTTTCTTTCCATACCTATTACTGATATGTAAACATGCCATCTCTTTCTCTCTCTCTCACAACCCATTCCCCCCTCCTTATCCCACCCCCCTCAAAACCCAGATCCCAAACTTAAAAATAAAAAATTTTACTTGTGTGGCTTAATTTTCAGTTCTGTTTTTTCTGAAATATTATGGAAGATGATTCTTCAAAAACGAAGAGAGAAAGAGAGACAGAGAGATATTTGAGGAGGAAGCTGGAAGTTGGGTCACGGGGATTCTGAAAATTTCAGGCCAATGAGGTTTCAAAGTTTCAACACCATCAATTTAGCTTCCCTTCGTCAACTCCAACCACTTAAAAGTTACAACATCTCTCTTCCACTCTTGAGAAAAGGGTCACGGTGATTCTGAAAATTTCAGGCCAATGGTTTCTTGGCTTTTTTGTTTTTTGTTTTTGAAGTGCTGGGCTGTATGAAAAAGGTAGAATAGACACCTACCTAGTACTTGAAGGATAAACACAAGTGGAAGTGGAACTTGAGGCTGTTAATCACCAAGAAGGAAAAAAAAAAAATCAGAGATTAGGAGGAAAAAATAATAAAAAAAATCTTCAAAGCAGGTGAGAGGCCTAGAAGGATTGAACTTACTTGGAGCAGTTGGGCTCTGAGTAGCAGCGCCTGCAAAATCGTTGCTCTGTGCAGTTTGGCCCTTCCTTTGGAAATAGCAGTTGACAACATAGTTGCAGTGATCTTTGAAGATGGAGGTGGGGTTGTTGGGTGGATGATGGATGAAGAAGGGGGAGTTGGGGTTGATGATGGATGAAGAACCTGAAAGGACGTTTTTATCTCTCATTTTGATGGATAAATTGACAGAGTTGGACGGTAAGACCCAATTGGAACTATTCATCGAGTTAATGAATGTAATTGACACGAAAAAAAGTTCACGAACCCAATTGTAAATAGGGACTAAATTCAAGGACGCCTACAGTAGATAACCCTAATTATTAATGTTAGATTCAAATTCAAAGTGAAAATGTTGACTAGCAATCAATTAGCTAGACCCTGTACGCGTGTCGTCATAAAAGTGCATACCACCGGAGCCCGGCGAAGGTCAGGGTCAAGCTCCATTGCAATTTGCAAGTAACAAATATTGTGATTATTCATAGTCAAATGTTAAAAAGTCTAGCAATCCACGCATCATAGATCGACACTTGGAGACAAACAACACACAAAAACGAAATCAAATATATTCTTATCAAAACCTGCACAAATTCAATATGCAGTTTTTTTTTTGTTTTCAAAATATGCAGCTATTTATGGCTAGTTTGAGATTGTTGTTATTTTTAAAAAAAAGTTGCTTTTATTATGCTTTAAAAATAATTAGCTATAAAGTAAAGTAACTCTATATTTGGTAAATAATATTTTTTAAAGTGTTGTTAGTACAAAAAGCAATATCAAAACCATTTGGTAATTTTAATATAAAACTATTGTAACTGTGAATAATGACTAAAATAGACATAATGTTGAAAGTGTTATATGTTAATCATGTGGTGGTAGTGGTGGTGATGGTGGAGGTGAAAGTGGTGGTGGTGGTGATAAAGGTGGAGGTGGTGGTAGTGGTAGTGGTGGTGGTGGTGGGGATGGCGGTTGTGGAGGTGGAGGTGGAGGGGTAGCGATGGTGGTGATGGTAGAGGTGGTGAAGGTGGTGGTGGCGGCGGTGGTGTGGTGGTGGTGGTGGTGGTAGAAGAGGATCTGGTGGTGGCGGTGGCAGCGACGATGGTGGTGGAGGTGGTGGCATTGGATGTGGAGGTGGATGTGGTGTCATTTTTAAAATTAATGATAGTATTTTGGGAATTAAAAAAATTAATTAAAGGCTCATTTTTGCTTCTCTTGAAAGTAGTTTTGAAAAGCAACCTAGAACATGTTTTTAAAAGTTGTTGTAAAAAAGCCACTATTTTA